GGGCAAATTTCCAGATAAAATGAAAATAGCAAGAGTGTTTCCAGTATACAAAAATGGGGAAAAAAAACATTTTCAAACTATAGACCAATTTCAATACTCTCTCAATTCTCAAAAATAATAGAAAAAATATTTGTTCATCGATTAGATAAATTCATAGAAAAATATGAGCTCTTAAGTGAACATCAATATGGATTCAGGAAAAATCGTTCCACCTCAATGGCTGTTATGGAATTGGTAGAAAATTTATCTACAGCAATTGATTCAAAGAAATACAGTGTGGGTATCTTTATTGACCTTAAGAAGGCTTTTGATACCCTCGATCATAATATATTATTGCAAAAATTAGAAAGATATGGACTGCGAGGACCTGTGCATGCCTGGCAACAAAGCTATCTACAAAACTGATACCAGTATGTTGAAATAAATAATGAAAAATCTGTATTATTGAAAGTAAATTGTGAAATTCCACAGGGCTCGACGTTTGGGCCAAAACTATTTATTATGTATATAAATGATTTATGTTCGGCATCAAAAATGTTCAATTATGTCCTCTTCGCAGATGATACCACCCTCTACTGCTCAGGTGAAGACCAAAGGCAGCTTTTTCAAATGGTGGAGAGGGAGCTGCAGAAAATTAAAGTTTGGTTTGATATTAATAAATTATCGCTAAACATAGAAAAAACTAAATTTATGATATTTGCAAAGCGAAAAGTACAAAATCATGTACAAATTATGCTCAATAATACACCACTTAGAAAGAGTCTTTCAAAATAAATTTTTAGGAGTAACCATAGATTATAATTTAAACTGGAAATCACACATGAATACAATTAGGAACAAATTATCCAAAGTGATCGCAATTATATATAAATATAGATATACCCTAGATAAAAACAGTCTTTTTATTATATATAACTCGCTGGTAATGCCCTACATAACCTACGGTATTGAGATTTGGGGCAATACATATAAGACGAATCCAAAGCCAGTCTTTACCTTGCAAAAAAAGGCAATAAGAGCAATCACATTATCAACTTATAACGAACCAACCAATGCATTATTTATAAACCTTCAAACACTGAAATTTTATGATTTAGTCGACCTTTACACTCTTAAAATTATGTTCAAAGTAAACAACAATCTCCTGTCAAAATCGTTACAGAACATGTTCAAAATCCGAAAGAGCCAATATGAGCTGAGAGACACGACCATGTTTATTAAAAAGAAAATCAGAACAAATATTATGAAATTTTGTATATCTGTTAAAGGGGTGGAGCTCTGGAACAACTGTACAGAAAACCTAAAATTGTGCACCACTCTCTTTCACTTCATAAAGAAGTTTAAAGGTTTAACTCTGGACAGATACATGAAATATGAGACTTAGTTTGTGCTGTAGTACTTTGTTGTTCTGTTTCTGATTTGTTTGTTTCCTCCTGCTGTATTTATGAAGATGAACTGATGGCAAGATGACGCTCTGACAAAGGAATAAAGGGTAGGCATAATAAGCTTAAGCTTCAGCCTGCACCTTTTCGGTCTGTATATGTTAAATATGACTGTTTATGAATTCATGTCAAAATATACCTGTGACCGAAATACAGAAATAAAAAATAAATAAATAAATAAAAAAACTTACAGAATACAGAAGAGGCCTACATGTCCTTTATATGGCTGTACAGTCATACATTTTTAAGAGTTAGTCTATGAGTAAACACAGTTTAAAATGTGTCAAAACGTAAACAATCGTATTATAAAATGCAACTTACTCCAGTCCAACAGATGGCAGCACGATATTGTAAACATACTCACCGGTCAGACCAGACAGAAGCAGGCGATGAAAGGTTTGTCCATTTCCATTCCCTGCGTGAATTACCTTCAAAGACAAGTATAATATAGTCAATTACTGATCATTACGGACAGCTGAAGGTTTATGACAGCAGTTGCTTTTCGAAGGTTTAGAGCTACGACAGTGGGCTTTAGTTTACTGCTAATGCTTTTGTTAGCTCAGAAACACTTCATCATGTTTTGCACTCCAAAGACACACTGCAGAAATGGTCGCTCGCATTTTAAGTATTACGGGGTTTTCATGGACATCTGCCAGGACTGTGTGTACACATATTCATTAGCTTTAAATTAAGGACACACTGTACTTGAGCAGGTAAGCTGCTGTACATGCCGCCTCTGTCAGGTCACACAACTTCCGGTGTAAATAAACCTTGAAGCTGAGGGATGATATTTGTGTTATTATGTTGGCTATACAATACAAACCGATATTGAATAACTGAGTTGCTCTTTACTTTGTGTTTAATTTGAAACAACTAGTGCGCGTAACCATAGTCTTGATATAGCGGGGTTATATACAGTCTTCTACAGCATTGTCCAGAATGAAGAACATTTCGCCTGTAAGGGCCTCAGTACTGTGTTTTTGATGTTATCTTGTGTTTTCGTTCTCAAGAGTATTATCTAACCAGAAGTCAGCGTGAGCCTCTGATACTGTTGCCAGTTCCAACGTCTAAATCCACTAGTTTAGCCCTAGGACTCTATCAAACCTCAGCACGTACAGGGAAATAATTTGTTCTAATGTAGCTTCTGCAGCTCAGTTAATAAATTCTGAGTTTCACATGAATCATGTGTATATAAACCTGGAATGATAATAATTATTATGGCTCTGGCAACCTAGGTTCAATTATGACTGTTGTATCTTTTTAACCAATAAGAGCACTTTAACTTAAACATTGTTTTTGTGTTTCAGAGACTGGGTGGCGTGCCAACATGCAGTGTTTGATGGTTCAGGCCCTTGTCATGAGACAATTGGGAAGGTTAAATCCCCGGCACCTAGTGGCTGCTGGTTATGGACTTCGACACACAGAATGGTGCCCCAGGACAATCCACACACGGCAGCTGTGGGGCTGCTCTGTAGTCCCTGCAATCAACTGTCATAGACCCACCTTTCGTAGCAGAGATGCTCTTAGAAGTTGGGCTGCTCATCATTTAAGGTTTAAAAGTACCAAGAAAAAAGGTTTTAGTCGAACTGGCCAGGCTGAGGAGGAAGAGGAGGAAGAAGATGAAAAAGACCCAGAGGACAGTGATTATGAAGAAGATATGGAGGACTCAAATGTGCCTAAAGACTACAAGGACATGGAGAAACATGTACAGTCTTTTCGTTTTGATGCTGTACTGAAAGCTGGATTGGACATGGCACGCAAGTAAGTGACACTCAGAATATCGGTGGCTGTAAATAACATAATTACATGGTTGTGGCAAAATGTTATTTTTCCTTTGTCTATTAAACTGTTACATTTCTTTTCTTTATATCAGCAAAATTGAAGATGCATTCTACAGCAATAAGTTAAGACTAAATGGACAGAAACTGATCAAGAAAAGTAAAACAGTGAGTGATATTTCCCTCAATATTTTCCATCCTCAATGAAAAAATAAATAAATAAATCAATCAACCAATGATAACCTGTGATTTACACTTTCCTTCAGGTAAAAGTCGGAGACACCTTAGACCTGGTTTTGGCAGAAAATCGAGACACCAACACTGTTACATTGATGAGAGTTGTTCTTAGGAAAGTTTTTGCTGAGACCACCAGTACAGAGAAACACAAAATTTCATTAAGGCGCTGGAAATCTCTTGAGCTTCCTAAAGAGGAAGCTTTAAAATCATGAACTTTACTTCAGACATGTCAGACTCCGATTCAGTTATGAAAAAATGTAATTTTTGAACTTGTAAAAGGATGGATCTAGATCTATATAACTGCATGCACAATTGCTGCTAATTTTGTTGTTGTACAGGTAACCGTGTGCTAATAAAGATTTTGAAGTCATTGTGTTAAGGAAATCACTGTTACGAGATAATTTCATGGCAAGGATTTGCAATAGTGCTTTTATTAGAAATAGTTTTATCATGAGCAGTTGTCATGTTAAAATTTCTTAATATAAACTTCTATAAGAAGGCTTAACATAAGCACATTGTTATTAAAACAGTGGTGGCACAATGCTACATCAATAACTGGAAATCTTAATTAATTTCTAAACATAACAAATGTGTAATTTATCACTATTGGTTAATAATGTTATTGGTTTAAGGCTACAAGATTTATTAAAGTATGTTAAATAAGCTATTTTGGCATATAAATAGAGACTCTTTAAGTGACAATAAGAATACAGGTATAAGCTACAGCACCTACTGCTGTAGTGACAACAGATATGACTTGAGAATATTAAGGAAACAAGTAACAGCTTAGCCTCACCCTACAAAGAACAGCTTCTAAAAATTTCACATAGTGTTTCAGCTTATATGATATTGTGCAAGTGTTTATGTCAAGAAAATGCTGCCTAAATAACTTTTGAAACTAGGACACAGTGCTTGACCTCTTGGCCTTCTTTAAAATGTCACACTTTTTCCGATTTGGACGGCGACAGCGCTCATCAATGCTTGGCACACACTCGTAGTGCCACACCTCCTCCACCTTCTCCACAGGGTACACTGCCTCCACATAATGACGGATCAGCCTGAGGCGCACAGGGTCCAGCTGCTTCTTGTTGCAGGCTCCTGAATGGTTGTACTGTAGACGCAGGTTCTCCTGTGTGAAGAGCTCAGGGAAGAGACGCACCAGCAGCCGAGCTGCAAAGTTCCCAACGGACAGACTCTGCTGGACGATTTCTCGCACCTCAGTGTCCGACAGCAGGTACAAGGAAGGTACCGGGAAGTCTGGGCTTGTCACAGTCAGTTCATCTAGCGGTATTTTACAAAAGTCTTTGCTACTTTTCTCAGGTGGTAATGACGGAATATCTGAATCCTCTCTGACATTATCTGCATTGAACGGGTTTAAGTGACAAAAAAACTCTTGGTCTGTCTCATGACCATAAATTTTCCTCTGTTGCAAGTATGATCTCCTTTGCTCTGTGTCACGTCTTCTGCACCTCTCATCAAGTTTTCCCACAAACTCCAACATCCAAACTCGATCATTGTTCGCCTGTGGGTAGAGTAACTGCACATAGTGACGGATCAGGTTTATGCGAATAGGGTCCAACTGTTTCTTTCCAAGTGAACCACTGCAGTTGTATTGCTTCCTTATATTTTCATGGGTGAAAAGCTCAGGAAACATGAGCACCAAAAGCCGAGAAGCAAAGTTGCCAATAGACAAGCTACATTCATAATTGATTTTTAGCTGTTCCTTTGTCAACAGGTATTCCTGGGGAACAGCAAAATCGGGCAAAGGAATTTCCAAATTGTCAAAATCCACTGGTGTAAGGAGGGACTTTTTAGACTTTCGACTTGGTCTCTCACAATCACCTGCCCCAGAAACAGCAATACTTGAGGCATCTTCGGAAAGATTACCAAGACCAAAGCTCTCATCTGTGACATTGTCAGATTCACTTACATTTCCATTACTGTGAGCACCCTCAAGTGCATCCTCAACATGCTGAATGCACACCTGCAGCCAGCTGTCCTCAGGCACATCAGGGAAATTTGCCTCCATATACTTTCTGATCATTTCCACCTTGTCAGAGTCTAGTAGTGGGTGCCCCCCACTTATAAAACTTCGGGATCCAGCTGGCATTTTTCCCTCTTCAAAGAATTCTGGGAACAAACGATGCATGAGAACAATAACAAAATCCTCCGGAGTGGAGCACTCATCCAGCTCCTCAGTGGATTGAGCATTAAGTGCCAGATCTGTCACAGCGAGACTGCTTTGCTGGTTATCTAATGACAAGTGCTCTTCCATTTCTATACCCTGTTCATTAATGAAGCGATAGGTTTGGGGCTGCTCAGACTTTATCCCTGCACCTGTAACTGTCTGCTTTCTCAGCTGTCGAGCACTCTCCATGTCTCTGTGTGCCCAGAAACGATTAAAAAAGTCATTAATCTGAAGCAGACATTCCTCTTGCCAGATGTTGTTGCTCTTCACTGAAGGATAGCATACCTCCACGTAGTTACGGATCAGCTGCAGATGCAGAGACTCGAGTATTCTCTTGGAGGCGAAGCAGTCATGCGCACACTCTTTAGCTTTGAACAGTTCTGGGAAGAGATGCACCAGTAACCTACAGCCCAGCTCCCCAGCATTAGATGTCTGCTCCATCAACTGCTTCAGCTCATCACTGGTGAGTAGATATTCTGGAGGAGGCTGAAACTCCATCACCATCTCAGTAGGTTTGATCTGTTTCTTTATTCGCATGACTTCAAGAGTTAACAAGTCCACTTTACTGTGTAGCTGTGTCATACTTGAATTCAGGGTATTAAGAATAAAAAACATTTTCTCAATGAGCGGATAAATATTAGTTTCTGTATGACACTCTGTGGAGGAGACTTCATCCAGCAGGCCATTTTCATCAGCTCCTTGGAGTTTAGCTGAGAGGATGCTGTTGAGCAGGTTTACGGAGCCTTGTCCCACATGTTGCTCCACACTGGAGGTGTTCCTCTTGTCCGAGATCCGGTGGGAAATCCCAAAAAGAGGTTTTCTGTGGGAGACTCTGGACCGCTCTGGGACACATCCTCGTTTCTCTCCAGTGGTGAGACATAGAGGTTCGTGTCGTGTGGTCTCATCTACAGAAAGCTGGCGCATCTAAAAAAGAAAAATCTTCATTAACACTTTATAATTACTTTTTGAGCAGTAATGCCCAGTATAGTTTACCTGGCCACAGATCCTTGCCCTCTTGTTGCTGCTGGACTGGTTTTCTGTAGATAATCGTTTTGGAGTTTCAACTGATTCAAGACCTTCTCCTTCATGTCTGTCAGGTGACCCACCAGTTGCAAAGTCATCCATTTCGTCCTTAACATCTTGTGCATGCTTGATCTGTGCAGGCAATAGAGTGAACCATTTAGTATCAAAAGACTGTAATATATAAAATACTGGACTGCATACATTAAGCAAATTTACTACATGGTATTTCTGCTTGTGGCAAAACTGTTCTGTGTCAAGTGCTCATACATATTGCTAAAAAGTATGCAGCCGCACAGTAAAACAGACGCAGTGAAGAAACCTCCACTAAAGCTTATGATCATTAAGATTAATATCAGATCTGTTTGTTGACTAGGCTCATAATGTTTACTGCTGAAATAAGTTTACTTGGTTAAAAAATCTATTTCTAATAGCATGTAACGTTTTTGAGATATATGCTGCTAATGCCCACCGCTTAACCCTAAGTAGTTCCTCATTCCTCCGCCCATGGACCCCTGGACCACAACAGACAAGCAGCAGGGTCACTCTCTGATCAACTTGTAAACTTATTGCTGCATAAAACAACACTCGACATTAAACGATCCACAGTAGCACACGTACAGCCTCTTGGAAAGGTTTTTATGACGCGGCAGTGTTTTCGTGGACAGTGCCCCTTTTGCTAAGAGTCGTGAGAAAAACACGCGTGATCGGTGTGTGAGCTCACCTTTACGCACCAACAAGAGCCCACAGGACAACTGACGACATGCTTTTCTTCTTAATTGGATGTCATGGAGCTTTTATTAAAGAAAACGGCTCTTGTTGTTGTTTTTCTCGGTCGGCCACAGTGCTGCTGTCTCGCGTGACGTGACGTAGGGCGCGCGTACTGGGTCACTTCCGCGCAGCTGTGGACAGCTCCAGCGCGCTCCAGCAGGAGGAGCAGGGCTACACAGCTCTGTCTGCAGTCTGTGGTCTGCAGACTGATACTTGACCAGTCAGAGCATACCAGCCCTGCAGTCCAACAAAGTGTGAAGTGTGCAAAGCATAGAGACACTCTATGAAAAACAACAAACAAAAAAGTACATACATTATTGTGAGTGCTAAATTCAGTTTAGTCAAATGCTATTTTTTTTTATTATTTCTTTTGATTTTCTTTAAGTAATTATAGATTGTTTTCCACCAAGCCTATATTGCCCTCAAGTGGCAGCATGAGAGAACAGCTTATGCTTCCCCCTGATCTCCCTCGCTCTGTGCGGCTCTGTTAGTTGGTGGAATGACTGACCATTTTAAACTTCATCATAGGCTACACAGTTTATTTCGTTAATTTCAACTGGGACCATGTGCACATCGTGGTGCCATTGCCGCCCTTCTGCTGGTAAAAATAAGTGGAGGAGTAGAGCCGGCTACTACTCAAATAAAAGTAGCTCACAATGTAGGCCACTCAATTACAAACATTTAGGTTAGATAAGTCTTTTAAAGAAGACTGTTCAACTGGTTAACACTCAGTTGTTTCAAACCACATAATCTGCATATTTTCCTAGCTCTGGCCAATGTGTGTTAGTTGTACTCATAGGCTATCCTGTGATTAAAAATTTAACTAATAATATAATGTGCTTCTGCTACACATTCAACGATCTACTGAAAAAGTACAATTACTCCCCAAAAGCTACTCAATTACAGTAACTCGAGTATTTGTACTTTACATCCCTGGTAATAATTTTCCTAACTGCAACGGAGATCCATTCTAAGTCATCCATTCTACTAATCCCGTATTAATCAATAGCCTAGTTATTTCATGCTCGCACTGGCACCCAATGTACTGTTCTCGGCCACAAATATGCCCATACGAGATGATATAACAAGGCAACGTGTGGCTGCTGGTTCTCGTTATTCCTTTAATGAGCTGTCTCCATGGCACTCAGATCTGTCAGCCAATGAAGCGCGCGGCCCTGTGCGCCATGAAGCACGCGCCGGGGTCAGATAGGCGAAGGTTCCCGAGCAGGGGCCGGTGCGCAGTACTTAAACCTGGGAAGAGCTCGTTAAAGTGTCATTTTTGCCCAATATGCTCATCCATGTCGAGGAGGCCAATAAGCCATAGTACTGTTCTCATCACTGGAGAACGACTCTCATCCATCAGTGTTGAGCCATAAGATCATTTTAGCAGGTGTTTACAGATAGTCTATTCAAGATGACAAATGGATATTTTAATACCACTCCACTCACATATTCACCCGTTTTACACACTGCCTTTTTCATAATGAGGTCAGAGAGATCATACGCATTAGGCAGAAAGAGAAAAGGAAAGCATGCACAAAAAGGACGAATAGAAAACTAAATTCCCCGTGAAGTAGATGTACTGATTGTTTATTTAGACTTTTTTATTAATTTGATTTCATTTCTTATTTTAATTTTTATGTAAGGCAAATTTCTTACTTCTTACCACTGTGAAGCTCCATGCGAGGTCCCTTGTACTTTTTCTTAATTAATCTCTGTTTGTCCACCTTCTTATAAAAAGCATCTCTCAGTCTCGTGGACATGTGAAACATTAATGGAAATCTGTAACCCACTTATTTTTAGTTAAATCAGCCATTCTGTGAAGAATCTGGACTCCAGATTTTGTACTCCAAACCCACAAATACAGAAATAACTAAAATATTGACAAAAGTTGAATGGGACTTTTATATTAATTTACTCCAAATAATTCAGATGGAATTTGAAATCTGACTTTCCTCTGTGTGGAGCTTGTTCCCACTTAAAATTGGAGTAGATCACACAGCAGAGGCCGAAACTACAGAGACTCATCATCACAAAGGGTCCAGCTATTTGTTTGTGCTTCAAAGGGTGAAATCCAGCTTTTTAGTCAGATGTTTTAGGAAAAATAGTCAGGAAAGGTAAGGGGTTTTTAACACTGAAATTGCAATTGGATTTTATAGGCTATTCATTGACATTTCATACACCACAAACTAGTGAAGCTAAATCTTCTTCATATCCAGTCCATTAGGGCTGCATGTGCCATAAAGTGAACAATTATAAGTTGAAGTTTTTGACAAACTGGTGAGAACTTCACCAGGGCCTAAATGTGTTCCCAGTCTGCAGATGTTAGCCGCTCTTTACAAAAGTGCTTCAGGGAACAAGTGGCATTTGATGAAGAGTGAAGGCTCCTAATTTGTGTGGTTTTATCCAACAACAGGTGATGATCTTAACTACTAAAAAAAGCTTGTTCGGAAAGAATGGTGTGCAGTATTTGCTACAACTGCTGCACAACAAAATATAACAAATAAGAAGTTAACTCTGAATAAGTTTTCACCTTACCTCACTGTTTTTACCAACCTCCGGATACATTTACTGCATACTATAGTCTTTGATCTAAATCTCTGCCTCCTTGCTGTCAGACAGAGTGGCATGAACAGTGGCCTTAGCATTATTGTGTGTGTATGTCTCTGTATGTAGTGTATGTAAGAGAATCTATCAGTCAGAGTGTGCTGACCCACTCTCTCCACTGGCCCCTGCTGTAATTACACCAGGCCTCGTCTGGGCACACCACGGACACATTCCCCCACTTCAAGTTTTGCTTATAGTTCTGCCAACTCCAGCTTTTATCATGCCCAAGAGTCTTTAATGTTTGAAGCTGCAAGTTATGACGGCGGCATCATGTTTCTGCTATATGCACAACATATAACCAGACCAACTCCCAAAACCATTTTATTTGAGCTTGATAGTATCAGGTTAATACAGTGATGCCAACATTTCCATTTGAAAGAGCACTGCATAACTTTTCTGGTTCAGCCACTTGCTTGCCTCCAGTAAGAAGTTATTGCTTTGCCTGAAATGTTCCAAAGCTTTGCATTAAAAGTATCTGTTTTGCATTGATTGTACCGGAAATATTGCAAAACTAATTCTTTTAATGTCAAGGTATTTGTTTGTTTTTACACCTGCTTGTCTCCATGAATATAGATAAATTTAATGCTATACTGGAGAACACTCAAGGCAATGCATCATCTCTATAGACACAAACAAGTGGAAAAACCTTCACCAGAAAATTTACATAGTGCACCTTTAAAACACGCTGTAACCCTGGAAGAAGTCTACTCTACTTTCTGCTCTTTTATGTTACAAATTAATTCTAAGTTCTAACATATCCACCGCAGTGACGAGTTGATTTGTGCTGGGAGCATCATTGCACAGGCCAGAGCTCATCTATTTATAAAGAAAGTTTGGTTCATAACTATATTTGTCATTCTGGCAGTGCCCCAGTCTCCTTCCTTGTTTGGTCCTTTTAACTTTCCATGTAACTTTGCTCATGTCTGCTCACGGCGAGGCTGAATATTTTATGAAGGGCCCGAGGCTTTCCCTGGCACATGCTGTACCTCGCTGTACCCAGGAAGCTCAAACAGTGGAAAGAAAAACACAGGAGGAAGTGGACGAACAAACCGGCAACAGAAAGAAGTGTGTTTCAGAAAGACTTCACTCTCTCCTCTCACTTTTTATTGCTTCCCAGTCATCCGGAGTCATTGTAGTCTTCTGCCTTTCACTGTCATGCCTCCCCTGTCTCTCCAATTATTCCAGATACTATCATTAGTGTGCTAGACTATGTACAGAACTCAAATTCTTTCAATTCTATTATAATGTAAGTAACTTAATAAAAGTGCAGCTACAATTTAGGATCTTTGATTGGTAATTTCTTACTGGGGTTACCATTGTAGAGAGTTGAACAATTTGGCAAAATGTTCGGTCATTTATTATAGATAATGTAAAACTGGCAATTTGCATCTAGGCAGACAGATGTCCCATTTTGTGTCATAAATATTTGACCACCATCAGAACAGGTGACTTGGTTTTCACAGCAGCTACAAGTATCTAAGATTGGATAATGCCTGGACAATTCTCCAAAGCCACAACTATTTTCGGACCATTCGAAGGAGCCAGAATAAAATAGTATGGTGATATGATAGGGTGATATGAAGACTTGATTTGAAGATACTGACACCTCTGCCAAGAATAAAGAAATACCATTGTTGTCCTAATAACAATGACAACAAATTGGACTTATCAAAATAATAACTATTCAACTGACTTCATAGTCCGTCCATTTTGTTCACTCTAGTAGGGTACTTTATTGAGCTGTGGCGGGTGGAATAATGATATATCTATAAATATTGATATGTTTTATTGTATGTTTCATTGTGCCTTTTTAATTCTGGAGATATCTGTATTTGATAAAATGGTCTTCAATATTATCGTTCTGAATAATAATTTCTGTCATAAGATATCGCACTTATGTATTTTTAAAAACATGGCCAGATATCACTTTAGACAAATGTTATCACTCTAATATGATAAGAGAGCTTGATTTCTGCCATCTCCAGTGATGTGTCCTTCAGGTGTGGTGGTGGCAGCAGCTCCAGCAGTGGCCCTGTTTCACACCTCGGCGGTCCCCTCTCCGCAGACAGCAGCCTGGGAAACCACAGGCCCCCAGGCTGGCGCCAGTCTGCAGGGCTTAGAGCAGGGCAGCCAATCAATACCTCTGCATTTCCTGTCCATTTGCTCAGGTCTCTTCATTAATAATTACTGCTTGGCGGAGCTTCAGTGCGCTGGCTGGCCGGGCAGAGGGGAGAGGCTCTGTGACCTTTTCCCGCCCCCGAGTTGACTTTACTCACACGGGTAGTGGGCACAGACATAATCAAGTACCACAAATGACAACACACTGTATCTGTGCCATCTCTTCTTATTGTAGACGGCACACACCTACATCTGCCAAGAGTAAAAGCTAGGTGAATGAGGGAGTTTTAGGAAAGCAACATTTACACATCCATGTTTCTAAACCAGTGGTACAGGGACGCTTGGAGGTACGTGAACACTTGCCAGGGAGTACCTGAAATGACTTCAGATTTTGGTATATATAATTTTACCTAGAAAATATAATACTTATAATTGGCTATATACTAAAAAACAAATTTACAATAACATTAAGACAAAATATACAGTAGAGGGTATTCAAGACAAAAAAGAGAACTCCCACTACCATAATATACTGAAATTGCAAATGGCCACATTAAATAGCATATGTCTACCTCCTGTGAGTGTTTTATATCATGGAAACACTGACCCCCTGATGCACACATTCATACGGGGAGGGTTAAGTGCCTTGCCCAAGGACACAACATCAGTATACTAGTGGGATCAAACCACTGACATTTGGATCAGTGGGAAAAGGTTCTACCAAGTGATCTCCTGCCGATTTACACAATTTTAGAACTTGGCATCACTCACCCACATACAAGAGAAAAACAGATGATGTAAAACCAAAGCAATTCGCTTTATTTATGACTGTTTTGCAGAGTTGACCAAGGCAGCCTTATAACACCTGAGGCACAAATGTTTTACTTGTATTTGATGCAGTGAACAAAGCTCCCCAGTCTGTCACATGTTCCTGAGAGTCCGTGTGTGTCCAGGTTAGAATTTGGTGACGGCTGATGCGATGTTCTCCAGGGCGGATCGAGCCTCGGAGGCGGGGAAAGCCTGGATGGCCTCCAGAGCCTTGTTACTATGGTAACAGCATAAGTCCGCCGCTGAGCTCACGCCTTTGTCCGACTTCACTGTGGCCAAGAGCTGCAGAGGCACAACAATACACCTTAGTTTGTCATTTGGGTCAATTATCGGCGCATAATGTTAGTGCGAGATAAAGTTAGCTCAGGTCATATGCAAAAACAGGGCAGTACAGCGCTGTTGTGCAACACTCAAATCTGCTTTTGATTAGAGGTTTTCATGGTGACGGTGATACCACTAGAGTCTGGAGGCAGTTTCAGCTACAATAGAAATAAAGCACAATCTGTTGTATTCATAGAAGAGACTTCTGGTTAAATCCACACATTTACTCTAGTGAACATATGAATTATACTGTTGATGTCCAGTGATTCATGTCTTGCCAATACCTTAAATTTAGGCATTAGAATATCTGAAATCATTACAAGAGAACACACAGATAAAGTTGACTTGGGTTTATCCATTTGTCTGGCTGTTGCTGCGTCAAGACATGTTTTTGCTTGGGGCGTTTCAGCTCATAAATTCTGGAGGTGGTAGGCCCTACAGCCTTTTGCAAAGTCAAAAGTACAGGTGCAAAAGACATTTGTATTGAAACAATATCTAATATAGTAATGGCATTTTCTACCCTTGTATTCTCTAGTATTTATAAACCCTGTTATAAAGATGAACCCACTGACACTGTTTAAACACACTGATTGATTTATTAATATAAAGCTTTTGCATCTCACCTTTGGGAAAACTGATTTCAATGAGGGTATGGGATGTCTAAAGGAAGTTGTAGTGAGCAATTAGACTTTAAGTGACTATCCCTACCATTCCTAATTTAGTACAAGACAAATCATGGCAAATTCATTCTTGGCCTCTTCTTGACTCATCTGTACTTGAAACTTTTGCCTCAAACTTATTCTAGTGTCCCCTTTTGGACCGAAGGGGTTTCTCTCACAATGCCACTGTCTCAGAGCCTCAGTGTCTCCTCCACAAATAGGCCGCAGTAACTCATCTGGCCTGCTCTGGTTTCAGACAGGACCAGATAACCCCCAAACACCAGACCCCTCCTCTGCTCTCCTCTTGCACCTCGGATCACTGCACGGTTTCCCTCACACTTTGACTTTGACAAGCTAAACTCCAACACAACTTACGATTAAGACACTGAATTCTAATATGTCTAAAAAACTACATTAAAACATATGTATTACTTATTTTTTTCAAGTGGCAGGTTTCATTGCGCTCATGATGTGTAATATTGCTATTTTTATATAGATTGTAAATGAAGATGGTTTACCTTGGAATAATCCAGCATATTTCTTGAAGTTTGTGCCTTTAGAGAGAAACCAAAAGATATTCAGAATCATCAACAAAAAGTTGATTTTATTTATTCTATAAAAATATACACATTATTACACTGTTTCCACTGAACCTCATAATTTCCTTTTATACATGTTAATTGTTGTAAAACAATCCACTTTCCAGAAAGGTGCCAATGAATATGATGTATACATTTGGTTAACATTTTACTAAGCATAAGTCACATATTTTACCATAAGGGTAATTGTTACTGAAATTTAGCAAGCCCCGCCAAGGACAAGAGCATCATTCAGGTTTCAATAATTTTTTTTTTCTGCACAACTCTAATATTATAGGTAACTACACAACCATAAAAGCCACATAAGGAGATGTAGCCATATTACCTGTTGCAGCTGCTGGTGCCACCTCTCCTGCCCCACACACTGCTGATGGAACACCACTGGGGCAGCACTTAAACTGAAGGACATTGGCTCTACACTCTTGACAAACGGCTGAAGATCTGAGTTCAGCTGTGAACAATAAACAAACTCATATTACCCTTGTAACTTTAGCAGCGAGAGTTGATCCAAGCATGCTGATTGGCTGGGTATGCCCTAATTCTGCCTCTACTCTCTCTGACCCTATTAATGAGTGCAGAATGAGCAGTCTGTGGCAGGATGGTGTGAGTTTGATGAGGATGGTTCTCCTTCAGAAGCCTCATTTCTCGCTCGTCCCATGCTGAGATTCCCTGCAGCCAGTGAGGCCTGCAGACTGACAGCTACAGGGAGCCGCAGCGGGGGCCCTACTCACTCAGCTCTGTCACTACCATCATTATGAACGACTTTTTTAGTGCCAACACGCCAACTTTAGCCCAAACTTCAAAAAGTATGAACAATCTGGAGTTTTATCAAATTGGATGGGTCATATCAACCTTTCCAACTTTGCTCGAGTGCAGAAAGGGAATTAGACAATTTAACAGCACATTTTTTCTTAATTGTGGAAAGGCTGAATTGTTGAAATGCTGTCCTTCTACATTTCTTTGGCTTCATGAAAAACATGATCATAGTAAAATGCACACATAGGAACACATTATGAAAATAGTCATCAAATAATTTTTTTAAACTCAAGTTGATCAAGTCCCACCTTAAAAAAATCAGTTGTCACAGAGAACAATCAGTATTATTAGGACAAAATATGTCTACAAATTACCCAATCTCTAAATTTAATAGGGCTCATGAAACATCAGGTTAATGTTAGTTTTAATGTTAGTTTTAGGTTTGCAAAAGCTTCTTGATTTAAATTGCTTGTGGCCACCTGGATGTACCTTGTGTCCTAGCGATAGGTGCTTGCCATAGTTGTAGGCCAGTCTCTGGGCTTCTTTGTCATGTTGGGCCAGCTCCATCGCAGCTTGACAGCTTTTGGCAAGCAGTGCACCATGGGACAGGAACGTCCGCTCCTCCCATGTTCCAATGTCAATGCCATCAGTGATGCCATTGTCCTGCAGAGCCAACAGACAAAGAAACAACAGGCCGAAATCATTACTCATTATTATTCACTACAGCTGCCCAATGGGCACCTCATCCCAGCTAATCCATGATCACTGAATGCTGTTATATGTAAAATACCATGCGATAAATGGGTCAGTACTGGAAGATATGGTAATTGATAGAGACATAGAGTTACAAAAACATCTCATCTTAATTTATTATTTACAACTATCTTTTGATTCATTAAGTAGGAAAAGGCTCACTGCTGTGCACAGCTGGAAGCAGCCGCCTTACAATATAAATACATGCCAAATATATTCATTACAAACAGACAAAAGTTTATACAACCATTACTCAAAATGATTCTCTACCGCAAAATGTGTATAATTGTATGTGTGTAAACAAAACACCTGGCCCATGGTTCAAAAACTTTTGAAGCCAAGGCGACTTTAATAAACAACTGAAATTAAGTATAAAACAAATATTGGCTGATTTTCACAATCTCACACAATATTTGACTGGAGCAGCTCAATATAAAGTTGAGTGGTACCTCGGTGTTGCTGGAATTCTCATAGTAGATCCCTTGGACTAAATCGCCAATGGCACTAGAGATGAGCTCAACCACCTGCAAGAAAACCACAGAGAAGAAAAGGGATATCAAACTCAAGTGCACAGGGATTACATCAGTCTTCATACAATAATTCAGCACTGTGCTTCAAACACAGCAATATTTGATATAAGACCATGGAGTAAAATAAAAATGGACAATACACTGGACTCAACTAGATTCGAATTCCCACAGAACAACATTAGCTACAGTAAATGTTCTGCAAAAATGATCTAGTTAGTGACCATGTCTCTGTTAATACAAAGTGTGATTTAGGAAGAACATCAGTGAAAGAACAGACCTGCCATGCTTCTCACTTTGTAATTAAAACACAAAATGTGAATGAAGCAGGTACAAGTTGCAATAAGAAAGAAGTACTTACATGGGTTCAATAAAAAAGCCATTTTGAGATTTGTATTCGACTGTATTCACTTAATTCATAATTCATAATAATTAGTTTTGACCAATTAATCATACATTAATTTGATGATTATTTGTTGCTGTTGTACAAAGCAAAACTGAGATCTGAACAAACAGTAAAGAAAGATGGAAACTGGATGCTTACAGTGTAAAATAACCACTACAACTATAATGCACTGTGGATCAATAAAGCTTCTGAAAATGAAAAAGAATGCTGCTTTTTAAAAATAGTCTCAAGATTATTTTGAAATGGAGAATATGGATATACTATAGTGGTATAGAGTGGTACAAAATTATTCCCTCACAGCTGCAGTTGCCTGGTTTCTCTTACAGGGGGCATGCATGACTACATTTTCACTGCAAGACATATCACCAACTCCTTATCGGCTCCTGGAAGAGTGCCTGCAGATTTGAAGCATTGTTCCGTAGTAATGAATGGGCAGTATCTCAATTGAATCTGCTATGGTCTGTATTCAGTGCCACAATAGAAAGCCAGTACTCAACATACAGTTCAGATGAATGGGGATAAATTTAGCGCTACTTCAGCTCATCCCAGACACCCTTGGTTTTAGAAGAAAAAATGTGTAGTGATGCAGACAGGCTCACCGAGTGCCCTTTGGGAAACTGAATCTATCCAGGGAAAACATTGAGGAAACCGGAGCCTCGCCCACAGACCTGGAAGGACAATGTGCCTACAGTATTACCAGATGTGGTGTCTCTGCCTGCACAGGGAAGTAGGGGCCAATGGGGTGGGGGGCTTTTTTTGGAAGGTATCAGATAAGCGTCCCCCCGCCTCCTCCTTACTCCATTCCCAAATCCAGCCAGATCGTGTTTTGCCGACAGGTCTGCGAGGGAGAGAAATCGGAGCTCCGCGGCCGGATTGGCTTACAGTTTATACAAGTAGCGGCATAGGTTTCTTCTCAAGGCCACGACACATAATCTGCAAAGCTCCTACTGTTTTAAAGAAGAAAAAGAGTATAAGTGAGATAATTATAATGAACCAGAAGAGTTCTGACTACACTGATGATCATGGAAATACTTCACTTATGGAATTTTACTTTTTGCACTGTATCAAGTACCAGTATGGGCTAATAGAAGTAACAGTTTCAGAAAAGCAGGATCCAATGGGGTGGCTATCTGGTAAACCACATACCACACACAGTAGAAACCAAGAATGAATTTTGATTTAGGTTTGTGTCACTCTCCTCAGTTTCACACAATTGTGGGTTATGGCTAAGAATGCAAGAGACGTAAAATTACTGTTTTCCAAAGAAATGTAAAATGTTTTTTGCTGATTATTTGTGTTTTTTAGATCAACATGTGCTGATGAGCAATTCCTTGTTTTATGTCTCGTTTCCTAATTTATGTGATTTTTGTTAGATGCAGCTTAAAATGTATCATATGATACTAATTAAATTTCATTCTCTATTCCTATACTAAAGAAAATGATTGATACTCTATACCAATTTTGTTACCACAGTTTAGACATTTATCAAGAAGAATAGCCCCTTGAGGTGTGACCTCTTGTTTTCTCAGGGTCAAGTACAGCGGAAGGAAATACAGTGATGACACTCAGTATTGATACTTGCTCAAATGAGAATCTATTTTTTATATTAATATCAGTAACTATTTTGTTTGACAACACCAACTTGCATTTTAATGGACTGTTACTCTTATTAATTGTGAACTGTTTTTAAATGCCTGCTCTCAATGCAGCGTTCAAGAGGATGGTGGGGACAGTCAGTAGTAGAACAGGGGAATAGGGAAGCTATGACTTTGCAATGGGAGGTTTTTATGGATAGTTCCGTTTGAGTATACGGTTTTGTTTTGGGGGTTTTGCTCACTGTGTTTATTTTGGGCTTTATGTTATTTTATTTGTAAAAAAAAAAAAAAAAAAAAAGGCAAGAGACAAGCATGTTGTGTTTTGGGACTCAGAGGCGACAGAGGAGGTGATCAGGTCTAGTCCAGTTGGTGGCCCAGTGATGGGAGGGTTATTTTGATCCACTCCACCTCAGTCTGACAGAACAGCCTGGTGACAGCTTCTGTCAGCGAGGGCTTACAGTGCGATGTGGCAGATATGATCTGTGGTGCACTTACAAGACCACCACAACGCACACATCCCAAAAGTGAAAACTCAATAAAAGGGATTCCCAGGGAGTGCCTGACAGCGGACATCTCCTGACCACATTCTGCATCAAATACAGCATGAAGGACATCAAACACTTCAGCCTGTCATGACCGCACTACATCTGATGCTCCTCTCATCTGAACTTTGAACAAATGCAGAAGGACGCACGACGACAACTCTGATTCTCCATCACAGTTATTGGCAGAAGAACTGTAAAAATGCTGTGAGACTAGTTATCCTGTCTATCTGTGTGAAGTGTCTACTACTGTTTTCAACACTGCTTGGAACTAATCAGATCAAGTACAACTGTAATGGTTTGTTGTGGTTTTAATTTGTCTTCTTCTCTTGGTTAATGCCTTCTGTGATGAAAGCACTGAAATTTCCCAGTAACAAGCTGTGATGATTAGCATATTGTTAACCAAAGGATAAAAGTACACTGGCTGGAAATTTCCTTTGGCTAAATATTAAAAACACATTGGGTCACAGGAAACTAGTTCATACGACAGATTGCTGGATCGGAAAAAAACATATACAAAAACACAATCAAATAGATAGTAGTTGACTCATACCTTGGTATTGTTGAGCTGGGCCAACCCTGTACACGCATTGGCCAACAGGAAGTCTCCGCTCAGCACAGCAATCTTATTCCCAAACTCCATGTCTTTTAGGGGCCCATCTGAGACCGTCCACTCTTTAAGATTAACTATCCCACGATGAACCAGGAATGCCGTGTGAATCAGCTCCGTGATCTCTGCCAAGTTCCTCTGGCTATGGAGACAAAAAAAAAAAAAAATAAAAAACAGAGATTCACTTCAAATTCTCAGAGACTAAATTAAAAACATTTGCATAGAAGAGACAGATTAAGAGCATCTCCCAATTTTCTTACTTTGTCCAAACATCTAAAATATAAAGAGACAATTTTATTTGAAAATCTCGAACATACAAAATAGGCAACTTGAGGGCATAAATCATCAGACATGTCAGGCATCCCGCTGATCCGTGTCAGGGGTTATCATAAAAAAGACATTAAACTTATCATTAGCAAATAACAGCCATTCTTGATTATGAGCGACGCGACATATGAAAGTGGCCTTTGAATAGGGGCTTTCAGAGGAGCCTTGGGGAGAATATAATCAAATGTTGATTCAGTCATTGGTGGGGGATAATTAGGCCCCTCTCCATATGGAAGGAGCTCGGCAGGCTGCGACAGGAGGGATCCATCCAGACAGGGTTGGGTGCGCTGATAGCCACTTACGACCTTCTTTCAGCCGCTGTGAGGACCTGATGAGGCGCTCGTCTGCTCCTCGCTCCTGCCCCTTCCTAAGCGTGCACAAAAACACTCACGCACACACACACACATAAGTCTTGTAGCCAGGTAATTGCCGTGTTCACTGTCGAAAAAGATGTGATTAAAATTCAATAATGTCATCTATTTCGCCCCTCAATCACACCCATTGTCTGGTTGGTTTCTCTGTTCGCTGACGCAGAGCAACAACAGGCTCGCCTCGAATGAGAGTTAATAAGTTCAGGTTTTTAAATAAGAGGAAATTAAGGGATTCATGGGCAGCAGGTTGCTCGCAAGGTGTCGCAAATGATGGAGACACCCAATTTTGAAGAGCAGGAGGCATTGTTACCATTGGAGTGTAGCAGAGAGAGGAGAGCGCCAGATCATTTGGGTCATATAAACAACATTTTTCAATCTAGTACAAATTCAAGGTCAGCCTCTTTCGGATGTTTTTTACTTGAACTTATCAAGACAGCAGATTATTCTAATAAAAGTTTTGTGGCCTTTTTGTCCATTTAATTTATTTAGCCAAAAACTTCATTATGCTCAATGTTAGAAGAGGAAATCAGAGTTCTTTTGGAGTAATATGGTCACATTTCCAAGTTACAGGAGATCTATTCACTCTATCATTCTCACATGCACTAATACATCGGCATAAACTGACTGCATGTACTTAACACTCCATCTATGCAAATCAATATGCTTATTTACATAGTTACACCCAGATATACACTTGTGTATAAATAAATGCCTATATATACATTCACTGCTAAATTAAACAATAAATAACTGCTGTTACAATGGTACAAAATGCTACAATAATCCCCCAAAGTCCTTTGCATCTCCCAAAGCTGCACCTCCAGCTTGGCTTCTGATCACTCGTGGTGCAGCCTGGGGAGGGAAAAAGGGGGACAAGGGGGCTGGTGTATAAATAGCTTTGGTGCCCAGTTGCATAGCAACCGATGCCATCTCGCTGAGGTGTAACGCCCCTCACCACGCCCCTTGTCCTGACTGCTCTGTTCCATTTTCCACCCTCTGCAGTCTGCCTCTACATCAAATACAGGCTTGCAGGTTTGAGAGCATGGCGGCTATGATTTAAAGAGGTGGCCTGTCCATCAGACCAGTGCTGTGTTGCTCAGTCACCTTGCTTTCATTTGTCAAGAGAAATTAAGAGGTGTGGCGTTGGTAACAATTTGGAGGAGCTGTGAGGGTGCCATCTTTCTATCTGCCCATCAGTCTATTGCTCCGTATCTATCCTAAACATGTGTTTGTGTGCAGATATGTATGTACTGTAACTCTCCATCTATCCATCTCCACACAGTGCGTTGGTGAATCATCAGTGTCAGGCAGTCGAGTGGGAAATGTTTTACAAATGCTGCCTGTCAGAAGGGAGGAGACCATCCCCCGGAGGTTTCAATCACCCCCTCCAAACCCGGCCCACCCCGACTCCCGCCATCCTTCTATCCTGCCATCAGCGGAGGTGCTAATGAGCGCTAGAGGGGTGGGGGAGAGGAGAGCGGAGCGGAGCAGGTTGGTGCAAATGAGGTGATCAAGTCATGTCGCGTGTTTTGTGTGTTTGGACAATCCATCACAAAACACTGAGGGAATGCAGCAGGTCCTGACTCCAGTAGCCCAGGTCTTTGCATGGAGAAGTGAAAGTACCCCGGGGTGTAAGAGTAATAATAATAATGCATTGGATTTATAGCGCTTTTCAAGGTAACCAAAAAGTACCCGAGGGTGTGAGAGTACCCAGGACTGTGACGTGCGATGACCTGTTAACAGGCTCCAGCTCTTCTGTGATGTCCGGTGGGTTCCAGTCAGTGCTAATATTGGGATGTTTCTTCAATAAACACTCGCGCCCAGTGCCAAGTTGCTGTAAAGAAAGACGCTTTTCACAGAGCCTGTTCGTGGCCACGCCAAATACAGCAGTCACTTCGGGAAAAGTATACGCCCACTATATTACCTATGTGGATCAGTCTGTGAGGGCTACACGAACTACCTAAAGAATTGGTTCCCAAAATGGTACATGAACCATGAAGTAGAACTCAGAAATCTTTTGCAGTCATTGTTACACTGTTTAGTTTAGAGCAGAAGGACACAAACTTTCAACACAGTGTCAAATGTATTATCTCCAAGCACTAGCAGTACAAGACTAAAACATGCCTTACATAACAAAAATTGTCACAGCTATATATATCACATTCCCACCTTCATGGCACTCAAAACGCTTTACATCAAGGAACCACTCACCCATGCACACACACATTCATACACCAGTGTACGCAAACACAAGGGACAAAGTGGGTTAAGTGTCTTTCCCAAGGACACAACAACAGTATTCTGTGGGAGCTGGAATTGCACCGCCAACCTCATTCATTAACCTCCATATCATTAACAAGTTGCTGATACAATACATAGCCCATGATATGACACATATCCCGATACAGTGAGCTTTTGATTCGATATGATATATTTCAAATCGATTCAATATGGTTCAATGAAAATAAAGGCTAAATCATGGCTGTGATACTAAAAGTCTTTGTTAAAACACTTCTTGTGCAAAGTTCATATGAAACACACACATTTTAAATAATAAAAACTGTGAAAACGTCAAATGTGTCACACAAGAGTTTCCTTCCTTTAAACAAGCAACAAAACTGTAGCTGTAGCAAAATAATTTTGTAAAATATTCCAAAAAATACTCTTGGCAATATATCGATACAGCAGCCCACAATATCGATACTGTATTATCTCATTAAACTATATGATATACCGATATTTCGATATTTTTGCACACCCCTAGTCAGCGAATCTGACCATTTCTTAACTGGACAACCCATAATTTCGCACAGAACAGAAAGATTGGGGTGAAGAATATGAGATGCATTCAGGAGATCTTACATTGCTGAGAATGGAGCCGAATCTGGCATAAGCGCTGCTGCCTAAACCACTAGACTACAAGGCAGCACTTGTCACTTGTACTCATATGTATTACTTTGTTTGGGGATTGGGGAAGACCACTGTTTAGTTCTGTCCTTGATTAGTTATGGTTTAAATCTAGCTTTCGTCTGGATTTTTACATCTCTTTATAGTCTGTTAAGTATGGTATTAAAAATTATTTCTGATTATGGTAGATTGATTCGCAGAACCTTTCACCTTCAGCGTTTTAACAGCTATGCAATAAATTACTACCAATAAGCCACAACCCTAATATAATCTATGCAAATAAAATGGTCTAGCTTGTAACTGTGTCTGCTTTGCCCCCACATTTCAACATATTTGTGAGGTGATGTAGCGCTTCGTTTACAGGAACTGATATGGGCCATAACCACAGAGGACAAGATAGAATTACCTGACACCAAGGTTTTATTTCACTATTTATTCTTCTGCGACCACGTTACACAGGCAAAAGTGGCATTGGCTTTCCCCGCTCTGCTTGTCACGCACATTTGTGGCTCTGCATGTCTGTCATAGCCTCTGCTGCTCCAAAACAGAGGCAGGGAATGTGGCAACAGTAATTCTGACAATCATTTTGAATAATGCATCCAAATCCCTCATGGGCATAAACAATGTTGAGGCAATTAGCTCCCCAGTTGCCAGAAGATTAAACACAGTCAATTACATTTTTCACAGTTAGCGAAGCTTTGGAGAATTCCCTGAACAGGAAAAAGATGGTGCACTAGATGTTGACGCTCACAGCTTCAGAAACATTTAGAAGCTATTACAGATGTTTGAATGTGTAAACAATGTAAAATATCAACAAGCAATGCAGGGTAGCCTAAATGGTTAGAATAACACAGCAATGATGTGTAATATACATAGTTATAGCGTACGTTTTACCTTGGATAGATGCCACTGACCATGTCCTGGGCCAGCAGGTCTGATGAGACCTGGCTTGGTCCGGCCGTCTTGGAGATCAACAAAACCACCAACCCTCTCATCTGGAGATTGTTCCGGCTGTCATACACAAAGCCCCTGCAAAGACAGAAATGTAAATCTAAAATTAAAATGTATGACTGACTAAACCTGAACAGGAACAAAGATATAACCCAGTGCAACCAGGGATAAAAAGTTGTTTTTCCTATAGCAAAACAAATGTAGTTTTGTTTAACATCATATTGTTAGCTAAAACAATTAAGTACTGTGACATAAAGATGATGTAAATAACATTACATAACAGTGTGAATTTCTTTAACTGGATGCACACTGGTGTCAGATATTGATTGATCTGTAAACATTTGCTGGATTTGGGTAAAAGTTTCCAAAGAAACTTCCGTTCAGCTGATATTTAGTTTGATCCTATAAACTGATGTAAACTTACAGGTTGTTGTTGGTCCATAAGATTTAAATTTCAATAACAAAGACACAAAATATTGGATAAGTTTTGTACCTAATTTAGTTTTAAGAAAATGATTACAACTTTCAGTCTCTTGCATTGGTATCAGTTAATACCTGGCATCAACAGATACTTAGAGCCAAAGTATCTAAATCGATATCAGCATTTAAAGAGCTAGATCGATGCATCCCTGTCTTTCACTATTGAAAATGGCACTTGACAATTGAAATAGACGGCGATTTGGAAAT